AAGGATAGAGCCCTGAAATTATTTACAAAAACTGACAGATTTATCAACACCGCGTTATCGAATCTTAGATTTGTTGTCGGCTCCTCGGGAAGGTATGCAGATCTGGGGTCAATTATTGCTTAGAGATAAACAATAATCCAGTCAAGGCGTAAAGAGGGGTGTTTAAGATACCTCGCAGTTAATAGAGAGTAAAAGTGCCCAAGTGCACTGGCTCTAATAGCTATAACATAATAATAATAATAATAAATATTATTTTATGTTTAAATTATCATGTTTTTTTTTAATTACTAAACCGGGCTTATAGTATATTGATGAAAAATTTTGACTTAATATAATAATAATTGCAGAACTACTTCTGAATTTTACTACATCTACGTCTAAAATCCCTGATATATTTTTTTCATATAAATTAAATTATTTTATTTTTTTTTATATTAAAAATATAAAATAATGTTGCATTAACATTGACGTAATTGACATTTACTTTAATGAATTTGAATTGACATCAAATAGAAATAAATATTTTTTCATGTAAGTTGTCTAAAAAAACATTTTTGAGTTTTAAATTTATCGAAACTGCGATTAAATAGACATCGTCATGAATCGCCGTAAATCAACATTGAAATCAAAGTCTACAAACAAAGGAACTACTTCTTTGTCATCCCTACTATCAGATACTACTTCCAATGAAGAAGTGAGCCGCGATGAAGACAGCTCAATTCGCTCACTAACATCAATATTATCTATAGGCGACACAAATGACTCTTCTGAATTAAATCGTGATAGCCGTAATTCCATTGATTCATATACAGGCTCTTTGCAAAACAATAGCCTTGATAAAACAGACAAAAGTACTTCTAATGTCAGTCATCGTCGTCAAAGAGGTGCAAAGTCCACTAACAACAAATCTAAAAAATCTAAATCCGCGAATACAACAACCTCTTCTCATATAACTCACTGTTCTCGTCGCTCTCATCAAAAACGTTCAAAAAATGAATCCAATATTTCAGTTGACTCATCTAATAGTAACAATTCAACAACATCTATGAGTTCAGATGAGGTTGCAAACTTTGCTGAGATGGTACAATATATGGAAAGAGGAAATCGCACGTGTAGGTTTAGGATATTTGTATTATTGTTTGTTATAATTATTCTATTCATTTACGTTTATTATCGGACATATTTACGTACTCCAAAGAATAGTTATGGAAAGAAATTTGTTGCACTTTTTGGTGGTGGTCGTTAATGAATAAATTTTCAATGAAGAAGATGTACGAGTAATACGTATTTTTCTATACTTATTACTCTACATTTTGGTATTACATTTACATTCAAAATTATAAAAAAAGTTGCAACTGTAATCGTTTATAAATACATTAAATATACGATTTAAGTATATGTATTAAGAACAGAAATACGGATTTTCAATGTATTTAATATTGTTTTAAGTAATGTTTCCAGGGTATACATTCTCTAGGTGTTAAAACAATCAAAAAATTATAATTTGAAAATTTAAGATGCTAATAGTATGTTGTATTATCATATGAAATTTGATCTGTTACCCTGTCTATTTACATCAGCTGTTTTTACAATTCTATTAACCTTCAAGTGTTTTGCGATGGCAGAAAGCCATCGTTTTAAAGGAATTCTCCGCTAGCATAACCCCGCAGAACTTTATTTTTCTGGAAACTAAGATTAATACTTCGAAGAAGATATTTCAAGTAGCAAAAATTTCCTGTCACAGCATTTATTTAGCATGAAATAAATCGCTCTGAAGCATTTGCTTTAAAAATATTTAAAAAGATATAACACTAAGTAACGTTATTTTTCTTTAAATTTTTTGATCGGTGTATATTATAAGTCTCTTGATCAAAATTTCCAGTGACCACATTTATAAATGGAATATTAGTACCTTAATGGAACGAAAATAGTTTGATTTGTGATTGTATTGACTTACTTACTTGCTTGCTTAGTTGGCCCGATCAGTGGCTTACTGTCTCTAGTTGGTAGTACCAGGCACCCCTAAAACGTTGGTCATCTGGTCCTTCACCGAAGATGCGGACGTCTATTTCCGCGATTTCCTCCTACAGGAAACACCTTTCTAGCCGGATAATTTTCTTCCATTCGCACGATATGACCAATCCAACGAAACCGCTGAATTTTTATGCGCTTAATTATGTCAATGTCGCGGTATAGCTCATATAGTTCATCGTTTCATATAATTCGAAACACATTGCTAACGCCTAAAGGACCGAAGAATCTTAATATCTCCTAAAGAATTTTTCTCTCGTATGCTCCTAACGCCGTTTTATCACTATTGGTAATTGTCCAAGCTTCTGTACCATACAGCAGGACAGGACAGGACAGGCCCGTAATATGTTAACATCTATTGACAAAAGAGATTCTACTGACGTCATTGTTGGTGATTTACGCTAGTGCCCAAATAAACCGATAAAGATTGTATTGACTAAGGTAATAAAAATTAATGCTGAATATAGAAAAGTGTAGTTTTGGAAGTAAAAATTATATAAAGGTTATATAAAGACTTTGCAGTAAAGTGTGAAGGATCAATTGGAGTCAGTGTAATACAGCTTATTTTAAGTAATCAAATTCTAAATTTTTATCGTACAGTAAAACTTCTTGTGGATGTATTTTTCCGACTTGTTCAAATTTATCCATGTAGTTTATATCAATCTCTTTTTAAACCCATTTTGTGCAATTTATCTATAAGATTTAATTAAGAACACGCTACGAATAGGGAGTTTTTTTTGTTTGTTTTACCTTTCTTTGGTTACTTGTTTTATTTTTATTAATTTTTTGAACACTGACGGACAATACAATTTCAATTTGTACAAGAAAATAATATTCAAATACATCAGCGTAAAAGTATTTAACCCACTTCTTCCTGAGAGTCCACTTCTGGACTCTCAGGAAGATATACTGATTTAAGTTCCGTCATCAACTAAAAGACAAATAAATGATATGATTTCTTAGCCTATTTAAAGCCTAGTGTGGGGTAGAGATAAGCCCCCCAGCCATTATAGAGTAAAAGTGCGTAATAGAACTAACTCTAGAAGAAGAATCAAGAATCAAGAAAAGTAATAATAAACAATTTAAATTTACAAAAAAAAAAAAAAAAATTATTTAAACTAAATTAAGTATATTCTTGAGGCTGTTCCAGATGTTCACCATGACTGGTTCTTGGAAAAATCGGTCGGTTTAATTGTCTGTACATAATTTTTAGACCGCAATTGTCAGAATATTGAACTCTACTAAGTTTGATTATCAACAGATTTTTCTAAAACCCGGTGATTATGAGTTTTTGGTGATATCTGAAACAACTGTGTGGTCCGGTCCGCTCAAGAATATATTTGTTTAAAAAAAAATTTCTTCTAAATTTAAAAATTTCCTCACTATTGTCAACCTTTCTATATGAAATAGGTTTCTTCTCATATCACACAAAATTCT